GTTAAGCACTTCCCTGGCAAGTGCAAGGGCCTGAGTTCAATCCCCGGTTCCACCAAAATAAATAAATTAATTAAAGGATTTATAATAGAAGAAAATGATGGAATTCTGAAGATGATTTTTGCACAGGAAGAATGGGGTTTAACTTGCTTCAGAAATTTCATTGAGAGTATTGAATGCTTGCTTGAGATAGCCTGGTCAGTTAGCTGATTTCTAATCTAGCAAGTAGTTAAAAACAAAGATTAATAAAATAATATTTGAGGGGCCAGAGAGATAGCTCATAGAATAAGCACTCGCCTGGCAAGTGCAAGAGCCTGAGTTCAATCCCTGGTTCTGCAAAAAAAAAAAAAAAAAAAAAAAGAAAGAAAAAAGGAAAAAGAAAAAAAATTTGAGAAGGTAAACTGAGTACCAAATACTGGAACACATCATGCTCCACAGCTACCAATTTTCTGTTTTAGATCAGCTCAATTGAATCCATTAGTGCGCACTGCGGGGCTATATTAGGTATTTTCATATTATGTTGGCAGGTTTTTCATTTTCTCAGGACCGAAAGCACTGACCTACTTGCTAGCGCGGTGGGCCCTTGCCAAATGTAGACCAAGACACTCCCTCTACTTGCCTAGTATACTGAGTTGGACAACTGAATTTTACTGAAACTGAACATTTTATTTTAAAAATTCATGATTTGCTAGGTTCCTTGATGCCCTATCTTTTTACTGCTGATTCACAATTTTTATTTGCCCTGTAGCTGTCTAGCTGATGGTTGTGAGGTAGGAGCAAAGGTAGCTAGACCTTGCGTCTATCAAGCAGCGAGGGCTCCCACTCCCTTTTGGGAGAGAAAAGAAGAGAAGGATTCTGGTCTTTGCTAAGATTCTTTCTGGAAAAAACTCTTCAGCCCTTAGATTCAGAAGTGAAACGTTTAAAAACTTGATGTGGTGGTGAGCTGGGAAATTCAAACTCAGGGAAAGAGTCCCACAGGCTTAAAGGGTTACTGATTTATGCATTAGGACTGTGTGCACTGTGGGCAGAGTGATACCCTCACTAGCGGAAGGGACCTGGGGAGCTGCGGTATGCACGGGTGATGGGTTTAAATTACCCTCCACATGGCTGATAATGACAAAGGATCTACAAAGTGCGGTACAGGGTTACAGGATAAATCATGAGGGGATTTAACTGACCTTATCAGATACAAAAGTTATATTTCTTGTTATATAGGTCTTGCTTTATCTTGGTCTCAACCATCCAGTGGAGAAGTATAAAAACAAGATATATAAAGTAAAGCTATATTAATATGCTGAGCTGTAAAAGGCTCTAGTCAACAACTTCTGCGGATAACCCACTACTATTGTGGACTTCTGGACTGTGTTGCATTGTTTTGCTGAATTCAAGCACCTATAGTATTTAGATGCCAATAGAATACCCATCTCTGACAGGACTAAATAAAAAAAGGGAATACAAA